GAAAAATCTACCATTACAAGTGTATGTAGCAGAGTTAACTGCTCCAGGACATAGCAAAAGTCACTGACTGTCACAGAGGCGTCAATTCGAAGATTTTGTATTGTACATTCATTGGGCCATAATATTGACTTTATATGCGAAATATTCATGTCGAGCTTGCGAAGAGTGCGTTGCGCGATAACCGATGAGAGGATAACGTAAGTAACGCTGACGTTGCGGACAAATTCCCGTAAGTTGACTGTCAGTGAGGTGAGAGGACAAATGGTGACATGTTCGAGAATTCTGTTTAGGTCATGTTCCTCAACTTGAAAAAGAGTGACCGAGCGTAGTCGAGTAAATTGGTCAATGTTGCCAAGTGATAGAAATAATCCTATTTGACCTGGCGTCTCACGGTCGTCAGACAGGTTGAGCACAGTAATATTTTCAGGATAAATCATTGGACAAATAACGTCGAAGTCGCTCTTTGAAACTGAAGTAAAGTCGAGCCGATTGTAGATGTTTACAATCGTGTTCAGTCGTTTACACACTTCCCTAAGTGTTAGAAAGATTGTTTGTGCATCAAGATTGTCCAATATACGATGAATAAGCTCCACAGGCAGTGTGTGAAGAGATGTGGTAGTCATTGTTGTGTCGTGGTGAAATGAATACCTGTGTGTGTGTCTGTCACAAGTGTTTTTCGTGATTGTGCAATTTCGTGTCAACAGAATCAAACATAATTGCAAGGAAAAAAAGATCCGTGCTCGTTCTTCTATGAGAAAGAGAGTGAAGAAAAGAAAGATATATTGGACGTGCCCCTTTTCAGGTAAACATAAATGCGGCGAAGAATAGAAACCATTGACTGACTTTTTTGCAGATGGTTGGCGCGTGGTGGGTAAGATTTTGTTTCCCGCATTAGGCATATGTGAGAAACTTCTTTACAATGAGGTTGACAATACTGAAATAACAAAATAAGTGGGCACCTAGCAGTGCAAATGAATATCAGATTTGAGATCAGCACGAAAAATTACGTTTAACCAAGTGGCTTTCGAAGTAAAAGTGACTGATTACTTGGAAACCTTTGCTCGTTGGTCAATTCTCTCCTAGTAATGACATTCATTTTGGATTTGTGACAGATATTGGGATAACATTTTACTTCTTTTTTTATTCATACTACAATACTGAGCATAAAACCAACAAAATGCCTATATAAACGAAGTTCAATATGTGTACAAACAAGTACTATTGATTATTCTCTTTTTCAAATAAAAACTGTACTGAAGACTAAAAGAATCATCCGAACTCCTCTTGAAGACCCCAAAAAATATAGACACAATTAAGTGGTACTAAAATCGCTAGAATCAGTAAGGGGATACCTCCTGTATCCTGATCGGGATATAAAACACACAATTTCGTCGTAAAAACGCTTAAGGAAAAAATGACGACATTTTGGGGAAAAAACAAAACAAAATAAAACAAAAAAATTTCTGGATCCAGGAAAATCCATCGCAATATGGGATATTAAGAATAGTCCATAATATCTTCAAGACATGCTTCTTCGAAAACGCTTTTACTGCAGTGATCAGAATAACTTAATTTTATATATCTACCACGAAAAGATTATTCAAATCGAAAATTATCCCAATGGGCAGATTGGTGAGTGCAAGGTTAGAATCCCAAGTAAAGTATGGATCGAAAAAATCCTTAGTTTATTTCTCCTCAGTCTACTTTTTGTCGCGCGCTGAATTTGCGTTAAAGTTTTGTGATTAAAGTCAGTCTCAAAAGTGTTTCCTGCAATGGGACAAAAAAGAATGTAGCAACTGATAATCAAACATATAGTCTAATGCGAACATGTGAAATGTTGGCTAGAAAAAATCTTGAAGCTCTGATTAATGACAAAAAACAGATATCACTAGATTCTTTTGGAAATTAACATGCTTTCAAGTTCAATATGTGTACAAACAAGCACTATTGATTATTCTCTTTTTGAAACAAAAACTGTACTGAAGACTAAAAGAATCATCCGAACTCCGCTTGAAGTCCCCAAAAAGTATAGACACAATTAAGTGGTACTAAAATCGTTACCATCAGTACACGCACTCCCGTAACATTGACGTTCAAAAACCTCAGCAATTATTGCCAGAACTTTTCAAACTTACTGGGCTTGCTTGGCTTGAAAATACCAGAATACGCAAATATATAAATATCTTTAAAATGTGCTGGGCTTGCTGGGCTAGGTGTATTCTCACTGACAATACGCAAATCTTGCATAGTGACTCACTCTCACGCTGCATCTCCCCCCCTCCCCCGACGGAGACACTATATTATATATTGTCAATATTTGCGTATTCTGATGTATTCTCGTGTATTCTCAGGGAGAATAAACCAAGCCCAGCAAGCCCCGCGCATTTTATAAAAATTTATGTATTTGCGTATTCTGGTGTATTCTCGTGTATTGTCAGTGAGAATACACGAAGCCCAGCAAGCCCAGTAAACCCAGCAAATAGTGTCTTTTTGAGAATACACTGCGGAGTGATATTCTGACATCTCTGCCTGAAAAAGAGAGATTTTTTAGTACAAAATATATATGAAGATAGAGTAAGGCCTTCTCTACAAAATGCTGAAAATCATTCGCTATCAAACAATGCATGAATGACTTTTCTACGATTATTTTTGACTGTGCTACAAGTCTTTTAAAATGAGGACTGGAATTATTTTGATTAAAACTAGACTTAATTGATTAACACCTCTGTGAATAGTTATCAGTTCATCGAAAAAGCTGAAAGATGTATGTAATCAAGTGTTCTCTTCAAACTGACATAGTTTGATGGGACGTATAGTGGATGTGGAACCCCCTTAAACACATTAAGCACTATAATACAGTCGCAGGATAGGTAAGAAGAGAGACCAAGTTCGTGAAGCTGTCAAGAGTATGGCAAAATCTTCACGTGCATCTCAGAAAGTATTTCAACTTTCGGCAAATCGAATGGTGTATGCTAAGTTCAAATTCTCTTTTTGATTCAAAAAGATATTGTCATTTTAATCTCAAGGGACATTCTTATTTCAAAAAATCTCACGGGACATTTTTCTAGTAAAAGTGTTTTTTCTCAGGAACGACAAAATATTTTAAGTCTCAAATTTGGGCATATACTACACAGCATTGGAGAAAAAAACGATAAGAATATCGCCGAGAAAACTTGAGTATTAACTGAGATTTCGGAAATATAAAATCGAAAATCTCACAGGACATTTAGTGTGCGATGCTCGTTTTTCGATCACTTTTTACTGTAAGAAAAACACTGGTCTTTTACTTCGTTTCATCAAAATGATTCTCAAACTGTGGACTATCTTTTGACTATTTTCGATAAAGAGTCCGTTTAGTTTTCGCTGAGATACGCGAGATTCAATCTCACGGGACAAAAAAAGATCAAAGTGTTTGTAACAACAATATTTTGATTTATTTGCATAGAAAAGTGCAGTAAACCGTTAACCCATTTACATATTTTGAGAAAGTTAGTCTTCTACTTCAAGTTATTCATACGAAAAAGATTTAAAACTTCTCCAGTCTTTGTAAAACAGTTCATGTTTCAACGACAGACAACGCTAAAAACTTCCACCTGCGACAATGCAACTATCATATCTCGGCGACAGAAGCAGCTAGAGGGTTGTCCTTTTTAACGGTAATGGGCAAAGGTTAGACAAATAAAACAAAAGTAAATGAAAGAAAGTCCATTCAGCACAAGAAAAGTTAACGCACTTTTACATCTCGAATGTCGACGGTACAATACCAGCGCAAATCGCACATATAAATTAGTCGTGTTTTAGAAAAAAATAAGTAGAAACATACAGAAGAAAAATTGATAATTATGTATTTGTGTATTATATACGTGCAGCTATGAAAATAAGCTATATCAATAAAGAATTGTCTTTGTCACTATTAACTTTGGCATCTTGTATAACGTCTATATACCGATGAGGAAGAGCTCGCAAAACTGTTTGATAATTATCAAAGTCTTTACTAAAGTACTTTTTTATCTGTTTGAGTTTTTGACCAAATCAAGTTGTATCCATAGTGTCAAATAAAGTGTGACCTTACTCTTCATACTTCTTTATTTATATTACCAATAAGACAGAACTCCTGATCAAATTTTGCAACGACTAACCATGTTATTAAATATTCTTTTGCGAGAAGTAGTGATTGGGATATGTTTTACTGATAATTAATCAAAATTAATCATTTTGCTCTGAGTGTTGCTTCTTATTCTGACGTTCGTTTGCGTTACTTCCCGAACTCCGCAGTCTTTAAATAAAAAGTGACTATATCTATATCCCAAACTCCGCACATAATTATATGAATTCGAAATATACGTGATCTCAAACTCCGCACACTTTTTAATTAGCAAGTAAAACATGGACTGTAAGAAATAGAAAAATATATCGTTATATCATATATTCTTAATTTGATTAGAATAAGAAATAGAAAAATATATCGTTATATCATATATTCTTAATTTGATTAGAATAAGAAATAGAAAAATACATATACTGTTTCATATATTCTTAATTGATTGTGATATTTCGTCCATATAGCGAAAAGCTACTGCTACACTTCTTTAATTTGAACATAATTTAAATGCTGTGTAAATAATATAAACGATGACTTATACGAAAAATGATTAACACTCAAGAAATTCTGGGAAACTGTTGCAGAAATTGGGACAGCTAATATTAGAAATGAGTAATCAAATAATTCCTAAAAAGGTATATATTCTCTGCACAAAAATATATGTGTACCCGCAAATATTTTACGAAATGGAATTTGAAATTGAAACCGGTCAGCGTGGTTCACAAATTTGCATTTATAATTCACATCGATATCGGCATATCAGAAATAATAAAAAAGGTTCAGTATCATGGCGCTGTATCAACAAGGAGTGTAGTGCTGCGATATTAATTCATTCAAACAAATTTGTGATTGAAAAAGGCCAACATGATCACGAACCACGTCAAAATCTAGAACAACAATGTATTCGTGGCATGAAACGCAGAGCAGAACAAAAACAACTGCAATCCCGAAAGTTTATGAACAAGAAAGTATTAAATTTTTCATGCAAACTGGAGGTATATTACCAGTATTTAATTCAGTACGATCGTCAGTATATCGATGTCGTAACAGTAGTCTTCCAGTCATACCACATAATTTGACAGAATTCGATATACCGGACGACTGGAAGAAGGATAACCTCGGCGGTGATTTTCTTCAGATAAATGTTGGTACAGACGCAAGGCTTCTTGGTTTTGTCTCTCAATGTGGTTTAGAACGTCTCGCTGAAGCAAAACATTGGAATGCCGACGGTACATTCTATACTGCACCACCTCTATTTTCACAAGCATATACAATACATAGTCTTACAGGTAAGTTTTGGGTCGAGATTTGATTCCATTATTGTAGTGTTTTAATTTCACTATTTAGCGCAATCAATGAAACCAAGTTTATTTGCTGCACTACCCGATAAATATCAGACTACATATACATCGCTCATAACGAACCTGAATGAACT